CTATCCCACTATCTAACCAGGCAAGAGTAGCATAAGACAATGGAGGTTGATGATGGTGACTAGCTATCCCACTATCTAACCCGACAGGGGTAGCACAAGACTATGGAGGTTGATGATGGTGTCTAGCTATTCTACTGTCCAACCAGACAGGGGTAGCACAAGACTATGGAGGTTGATGATGGCGACTAGCTATCCCACTATCTAACCAGACAAGAGTAGCATAAGACTATGGAGGTTGATGATGGAGACTAGCTGCCTTCTTTCTAGTTCATCAACTTCAAATTAGGGACGGCTATGCACATGTAGGTCCTAGTGTCGTTTTGCACGAACATCTGAAACAAATAAACAGTAATTAAAAAGTGTGCATCATAAGGAATTATCTAAATCTTTATAGTTTCGAAGCACTGTTCAAACCTGATGATATGTTTATATAGATTTTAAGTATAATAATCAATTTCAAATAATATGGATATGCTTATAGTTCAGGCTAACGTTAGCCTTTAAGTCTAGATCGTGTAAGAGTTATATATATATATATATATATATATATATTGTTTATTCAGTCAAGCTTTTATCTGTCAAGCTATTTTCTTCCAATTACCCAAATCGCCCATTATATAATTTCATTCTTGTACGTAGTTTAAGGAGTTTATATAATATTTTCACTTACGATTATAAGTTTCCCCACCAAGGAAAAATTATTTTACACTTAGAAAGGCTATCAACTTCTATAAAAATAAAATAAAAAGTACCGTGTGCTCTGAAGTTTGAATTGAATAGCTTTACTGAAAATTTAAAATTATTTTTCTCCTTCTATTCCCCTTTGTCGAGTAAAGTTGTCTTATAATACGCAAGTAACATTTATTATGGAACCAGCGAGTTATGGAAAAGTAAGATTAAATTTTAGTTAAATTATCTCTTTTGCGAGTTTTAAGGTGATTTAAATATTTTAATAAGCATCTAGTAACATTCATTTAGTGTATAATTAAAGTTGGAAGGCTAACCAAATACATCCCCAAAGAAATTACACATGAAATCATGTATAACAACGAACTTAGTAATTTCGTTAAACAAATTTAAAAAATCCAAATTACAAAACTGGCATATTTAATGACATAAATTAAACACTTCCAAGAAATGAAAAAACCCGTTTTATGTACTGGAAGTATCGATTTATATTTTGCTTCACTCTAAGTACTGTAAAATAAATAGATGTTTAAGTTTGCATAACGTACTTGGGAAATGTTACTCAATCCAGAATTCGTTGAAAATATTTCTTGCTCAAAACTTGAAATTCACAAGGGACACGGAAGAACATGGCACAAACAATTTGCAGTCAAACGTAATTCTAATCAAAATTGTAGGACCAAAAAAACATTATTTTTTTTAAAATATAAATTAATGATTATAAATTTTCTCGACATATCAATATAAATGCAGTTTGAAAACGCATGCTTCTTCATGTTACTGAAGTGAATATTGTATGAGTAAATCATGGCATGTTGTAGACGATCTCAGTATTGTGCAAAAAGAAATACTTACTAGTTATGTATCTTCTGTTATATCTGTGTTTCAAACAGGTTGCTTTCAGTAAGGACCATTTATGTACTTCTTTTTCATTTTTCAATATTTTTATACTATTCATTGTATTGAAATATTAGATAACTTATCCTTTGATAAATACTTGATTGATTTCAACAGCTATTAGGTTTCAAAACATACAGAGTCATTTCTGTGCATACAGAAATAAAACACACACACAAAATATTAACTTTTGCTTATTTCTACATATCTTAAATAATTAAATAGTTCCGGTTGTTGGAAATAAAAGTCCTTACATTAAAGCACTCGTAGCTATGGTAACAGTGAAATTATATAAAGCTGGTGAAAGAGAGACAAACGTGTGTTTGACAGGTCTTACGCTGATAACACTCTTTTTCATGTAAGCGGCGCAAGGTGTAGTCTGCCGTGCATAGCGGTGAATCCTCGACACACCAGCTTCGCGTGTCAGGCTTATAACTAGGCACAGTGGATCTAAGGCATACAAGAGTAAGTACCAGGAAGAAACAAACTGTAAGGTGTTTCTTAGGGAGTAACTTAGAAACTGTAAATTCAGATTACCTTTTCTATACGTAAAATCTATGTAAATACAACAATGTATTATTTATAATGTTTTTACGTATTAATGACTGATTCATCTCTATACAACGCTTTGTACCTCTCTATTTCGGTGGACCAGGCGTTGCTCAGTGGTTGGGTTAACCTGTCTGTGAATTAGGTACTTCAAGATTTGCGTCCTGTTTGTTATTAAAATACGATCCTCACTTTGGTACCATGAGTGAGTTATAAGAGTGACGGGAAAGTCCCGATTCACTTTTCGGATAGACAAGAGTAGGTCAAGAGTTGGCTGTAGGTTCTATTGACTACCTTCTTTCTAGTCCGGTAGTCCAAATTAAGGACGGCTATGCATAAACAGACCTTTTGTAGTTTTGCGCGAATATTGTAATCAAGCAATCTATTTCGGCATTCTTAAAAAAATTCAAAACATATAGAACAATTATGAAAACAACGAAAAATAAATCATTCAAGTTTGGTATACGTAATGCAATACTGTTGCTAAAATATTAGTTGTAAAACGTACAGCATAAGAAAATCATAATATAAATCCTATTCAGACCTTTTGGAATGACTACACAAAATCTCCCGTAACTAGCTGGTAAATAATGACCAGCAATTATCCTGTAACACAAAACTAGCTGCAGACGTGTTTTTTTTTCAAAATCAATAAAAAGTTGTAACTAAACTTCTCTTTAATTTGTATTTCCTATAATGAATTACGACGATTCTTTCACTTCTGTATAAGGAAATATTCGTAGTAGATTAAGAACCAAGTGAAGTGGTCTACAGGTTTGTTCTTTATATCAATTTATGAAGTGCTAGGTAGAAGAACAGGACGTTATTTACTCATTAAACACTAGAATTGTTGAACCTCGGATTTTAGCCTTGTAAAGCATTAATACACAGAAATTATAGCTCTGTATAATATGTATTTGTATTTTACACGCTGCTTTGCGTATAACTTACTTTTGAAAAATACGTTTTGTGAGTGTGCACTAGTATGACCGAATGTATAGTTTTCGGAATGTATATAATGACAAAAACCATACTAAGAAAAAATAAATAAACCAAACGACTGTGTTCGTGAAAGTAAAACTTATGTCTCAAATCATACAAGATTAATAGAGTATTTTTTTGTTTTTATAATTGGTCCAAGTTTGTGTATGAAGGGATTGTACGTCATTAATAAGGGTTTTATAATGGTTTTACATGATTGATAAGGGCTTCACAATGGGTCCAAATTTGTGTAGTATGGGGGTTTAAGTGATTAATAAGAGATTCCTTTAAAACGGGTCGAAGTTTGTGTACTAGGGGGTTTTACGAGATGAATAAGTCCAAGTTTGTGTACAAATGGTTTTTAAATGATTAATCAGGGCGTCATAATGGTTCCAAGTTTGTGTAGTGAGGGGATTTATGTGATTAATATGGGGTTTCTTTATAAGAGGTCGAAGTTTATGTATTAAGAGGTTTTACGTGATTAACAAGGGCCTTATAACGAGTCCAAGTTTGAGTATTATGGTTTTTTATTGGCATTTAACGCTCGGAAAGGTCTATAGATATTATTTTGAATTGTTTTAATAATGTGTAATAACTATCTAGAAATCGTTGATTCTATATAAATTCGATATATGTAAGAAACACCTGAAAATGTACCACGTGACCAAGTTATTATGAAAATTGGTTCTTTCTAAAAGTATGTTTTAGTCATAATGTGTGCTCTAAAATGAATATACTTCCAGTCAGTATATAAAATGTTGATTTTTTCTTTGAAGCTATAAAAAAATTGAGATGATTCATTACCCGAAGAGTCGTAGCTGTGTGAGATCTCACTTCACTAAGTTAGTTAAAGTGTGGTATGACTCGTTTCAATAAGGTATCTGAAGAGCTGTATGGCTCAATAAGTTAGCTGAAGAGTCGTAGCTGTGTGAGATCTCACTTCACTAAGTTATTTAAAGTCTGGTATAACTCGTTTCAATAAGATATCTGAAGAGCTGCATGACCCAATAAGTTAGCTGAAGAGTTGTAGTTGTATGAGATCTAACTTCAGTGAGTTATTTAAAGTTTTGTATGACTCGTTCCAATAAGGAATCTGAAGAGCTCTATGATTCACTAAGTTAGCTGAAGAGTTGTATGACTCTCTTTAATAAGATATTTGAAGAGTTGTATGAGGTCTCGCTTCAATAAGTTACCCGAAGAGTCTAAACTTCAGATATCTCAATATAATATGAATTGAGAATTATCAGAGCTTTTGTAAGGGACTTAATCGGAGGTTTATATATATCAAAATAATTAGCAAATCTGTATTTGTAGGGCATATGAAACTTTTATGGTAAACAACATTTCGTAATTTATGTTAAGGTAATCTTTAGGTCGTTACACAGAGTCCGAAACATTGTGTATCTAGGTTATTTGGAAACTTGATTAAATGGAACGCAATTTTTTGTTTTGAGTTCATTAAGGAATTTCTACATTTTCAGTAAAGTTGAAGAAAGATACATTTCCTGTAAGGTTAAGTTCACTTGTTAAAATTTCTGTCATTGCTAAAGTATTTGAAAGGTTATTATATAATTATAGTTCGTTAATTTACTTGGAACTCTAATGATGAAGAAGTGATAAAAAACAAGCATCTAAACAGTTAAAATTAACTTCTTGAAACTGAGTTTCCAAGGTGAGATGAAACTATTTTATTTTAAACGCCGAGATCATATAAACAAATACATACATGTGAAACGGAAAATCACTGACGTGGCTGGTTATAAGTAGTTCTAGAATGCACTTTCCAAATAAATATGGTAGATATAAAAAATGTTTGTATTAAACTTCTAGACATACGATAAAAACTGATTACTTAACAAGGACACACCAGATATTAAAGTTTACACTCACACATGTTATTTCAAAGGCTACTTAATATACTACAGAAATATATATGTACATGTGTATCACTTAAACATGATGTCAATGAATACGAAGAAAAGTCAGATTTAATTAATTATTATTAGATAAAGTTTTACGTTATTGTTGACAGAAGACATATAAATACGCCTTGGGAAACATTACTGACAATTACAAATGCCAGCCAGTTATTTAATATTATATAGGGGGTTATGCTTATTGGAGTGTAAATAAAATATGTTTGAGGCAGTGGGAAACAAGGTCTTCCTTTGAGATGCGTATAACATTAATAATCACTTGTTAACAGTGCTGCGGTATTTATTTTAGCTGGTGTCGCAGTTTATTCTGGTTAATAGCGTTATATATGAGTTAAACATATAAACGAGCACCAATTAATGATAACCTGTTTTCTATGATCAGAGATGAATGCTAATTACTGAAAGACGAACTTTGAACCAGCATTAAGCTTCATGATCAGCGAAAGAAGAAAGTTAATCTCGCATAATTCGCGAACAAGAGTGAAATGTCCTTGTTTCTGCTTACACGTCAACTGAGTGCAAGATGCGTTGGACTTATGGAAATATTTGTACAATTATCATTTCCACTGACTTATTAACATATGCTTGTGTGTATATATTGTCATATCATTCATCCTTGACTGTTGTTCTTGAGCATTCACCAGCTTAACATTTGGTGGTGTTACTGGTAGGGCTGAGAGTATCGCACTCAAGCATCTAAAATCTAATCTAAAGTTTCTGCTAGGTTTAATTAAAGATCAGTATTGTGCATAACCAGTGAACCCTAGTAAAATTTGTTTGGGTCTGCATTTCTACATGACTGCATCTCTCTACGATGGGCGATATTTATATATATATAGAGAGAAAATGGGGCGGCCGTAACTACCACACAATGGCAAGACTATAACCCATTAATCTTCAATGTTCCCTGTACTTACGTATAAAGAGATAGACAACTGGTTGAAGCTGTCATCATCTTTGTCACTATACAATTTGCTTATCTAATTAATGCACGCATCCTATTATGAATTTAAATAACACTGAAATAATCTCTACCTTTCTGATTATGCGTTGTTCTTTTATTGAAATTTGAAACATTTCGTGAAAGAAATAATATATTCACCTTAGAAACATGGAAGCAACGTTTTCATGACAGCATTGCAAACGGAGCTATAAGAAACATGCAAGCAACGCCTCCATGATAACATTGAAAGGTGAGCTTTATAAAACATGATAACAAAGTTTCCATAATGTCACTTAAACTGACCTATCAACAGAGTAAAGTATTGAAGGTTATGTATCCAAAAAACATAACAATATTACATTTTCGCAAATATCGGGGTAGTGACAACTGTTTAACGTAAGGTTTGGTTGAATTAGGCGAAAACTTGTTTCAAGACGAACTACGTATTTAAATAACATGTTTTTTTTTAATCTGTCTGTTATCAATTTAAGTTACTAAAAACGTGTTTCATCACACAGTCAAGTTTAATTAATTATGATTTTGTTGCTTTTACTTAAATAACTACATATTTTCTGATCAATTAGGGAAATAACGTCGGCATTCCAGATTTTCATTAATTATAAGCAGCTTTAGACGTTTACATAATTTGATATATTTTCTCTCATACCTTTATTGGATTATGGATTATTTTCTGCATGTACCTTTGGTTTATACAAACAATCCTAACAATTCATTAGAAAGTGTTATTCCTTTAAAGTCTTTTAAATATACCCAAAACAGAAGAAATACTACATTTTAGACATTCAGTATTTAATGAACTTTCGTGATGCTACGGAGAGTCTTTTTACTCAGATTACATTAGTGAACGATCTGGAACTACTAAAGTTAATCATAATTCCCTTTTTCGCATACTCTGTTCAATAGAACTGTAACACGTTTCCTACAAGTTTCCTAACTCATTAATTCAAGACAGCCCCCTGTTGTTTCAAAAGAAAGTGCACATAATCTTCCTATCATAAATCAATTTTGAACTCGTGACCAATGTTACAGTGTTGCTAAGTTGGCTACAAGTCAAGTTTAAGTTTCTGCCGTTTAGAAAAATAATGCAAATCTTTAAAACACCACTCAGTAAATAAACATTTCAAATAAAGACAGAAGAGGGAACTAAAATTGTGAGAGGTGCTTTGAGCTGTATTTCTGTATAGTGTTTTCAGTGTCCTCACTGTTTAATAACACAAAAGCTGTTAGCCTCTTAACCTTAGCTCCTTGGAGCAGATCAAGTTACTATCATTATATATATATATAGGTGTGTGTGCATGTATTTATACATAATTTCTAAAAGCTACATGCATTTCTTGATTTTGTTTTTATAAAAGAAATTACGACATTTAATTTATTTCTTAGGATTTCTGAATAACATTCGTTTGTGTTTTTAATTTAAATAATTTAGTAAAGCCTATAATTTAATCAGAACTGTTACATGAGACTTAAACCGCACGTGTACACGTGACTGTTCTTTCTCGTTTGTTTGTTTTTTAATTTAGTTCTGATGTTAATCTAATAATTTGATTGTTTCTAATTTAAAATAACAATTTATTGTTATCAGAATGCTAACACCTGAAAGTCAATGCTTGACTTTGTTTACTTTATTTTGTCTCTATGGTTAATTTCGTTTGTTGCTATTGAACTTTCAGACAAGTATATTGGAATACCAAAGACTTCTAGAGGTTTGAGCTTGATTAAACAATGTATCGTGTACCTTCGCTAAAGCCATATAATTTCTTTTAGTCAAAAACTGAGGATTCCTTCTTAAGAAAAAATAGAAATCTGATTACAGCTAACAAATATATTCTGGAAAATCAATGTTCTAGTATCAAAATAACTCCAACAGAGGTCGTGCTTTTTGTTATAAAATGTGATCTCCTTAATTGAGGACTTTTATTGTTTTATCTGTTCTCTTGACTTTATTTTAATTTTTTTTTGTATTTTGTAAAGTAAACGTTGAAGGCGTTTTCGTTAAAATATGCCTTCTATTCCAATAAATAATATTTTCGAGTTAATCTGCGTTAAGTAAAATATTTTCAGGTTTGGGCCCCGTAAATTAAGTAGACTCCAGTGTACCATTTTTATTAAGTTGATTTATTGGGACATTTAATAGGTTAAACATAGAAAATTAATTAAATTTAACACTCCATTTCCCCGTTTCTTAACTTTGGTGTGCCACAAATGTGATATAAATAACTTCGTTGATTATTCCAGATGAGGTAGTTATATTTTAGTTAATATGAATGTTATCCATATGAAGCAGATAATGTTAGTGTTATATATGTAGCTATAAGGATGTATATTGGATAGACATTTATTTAACTGTACATAGATATACATGATCTCGGAAGCTTTCAGGATACTTGTGTGTATTTGTAGTTTACTGGAATTAAACTATATGGAGTATTCTGTGTTTGTGTTTTTAGTCGCTATAACAAAAATAACAAAAAGTTGTTTTCTCTATCAGCAGTATTTTCGAAAAATGCTTCACTCATTGTTTCATGTTTAGACATTTATTGATCACGATCCTTTTCTAAGAACAACTTACCTTAACTTGTGTTGATCAGATCCCATTTTTAAGAAATCTTGTCGTCACTATTTCATGTTCATAACTATGTTGATCACGTCTCCCTTTCTAAAAAAAAACAAAAAACAAACAAACAAAAATACTCGCTTTCCTCTTTTTCATGTGCAAAACAGTGTTGATCACATCCCCTTTCTAAAAAAATCTTGTCTTCGCTTTTATATGTTCAGAACTGTGCTGATCACATTCCCTTTTTAAAAAATCTTGTCGTCACTATTTCATGTTCAGAACTATGTTGATCACGTCTCCCTTTCTAAAAATAAATCTGCTTTCTCTTTCCAATGTTCACAACTTATGATACTTTTGAACTACTGAATTTGATTGGAACGTGCTGCAACTTCGAAATTACTTGAATAAAAGTGTTTCGTGTTTCTGTGATGACGTCAGGATTCTAACATTTTACATATATTCACGAAAGTGGTCCTTTATATTGATCAATGCATTGTACCGAAAAATGTTTTATATATCGCAGACTTAAATTTACATACTGGCAATCACGGCGTGAAAATATTGAAGAATATATATAATCTATATTCTGCAGTCCAGAAATGTAGTGGTAGCTGCAAGCACAAGATTCAAAATAACAAAATTTACAAACAACAATGAATTGTATATTTCTAAAATTCTTTCGAGCATCTCAGTTGCTTTGGTAATTGTATAAAATCTTTTTTTTGATCTTATTCAAAATCCAGATTTTTGTGCAGAATAAATTCAAATATCCAAATTGAAGTCTTAAGTAAAATTTAGTGTCTTCCAAAGTTAAGGTAGATACAGACGGAAAAACTAATAACCAGTTTCGTATTACAGTAGTATTTGAATTTTCGTAGTGGATAATCATTAAGAAACTTAGAATTTGTAATGATAAGTCGTAAAAGACGACTGTGGTAAATGACAAACAAAGAGAGAAAAAGTCAATTACGAAGGAAAAAAAAACGAAGTACAAATATGATATTTTTAATTTTGTTTCTTAGTTAGCTAATATATATTTCTGTAATAACTTCCATATCAATTTATATTATGCTATAAGTAACCTCTCCTAAAATTTAATCCCCAAAACCATATTAATTTTAACAGTTATAAATACTAATAAAAATTAGAAATAACCTGTACTAAAATCTAATCATGAAAACCATAAAAGTTTATTCATTTACTTAAGTATTAGTAAAAATTAAAAATAACCTCTTCATAATATTTTCATGAGTAACAAATACAATACAAAATTACAAGTAACTTATCCTAAATTCTAATCATGAAAACCGTAATAATTCAATGAATTAAATAACCTCTCCTTAAAATAATCATGAAAATTGCTGTATTTTTTCAGTTATAAATGATATTAAAAATTACAAATAATCTCTTCTAAAACCTAAACATGCAAACAATAATACTTTATAGGTTATAAAACGTCTCTTGGTGGGACAGCGGTAAGTCTTTAGATTTACAACGCTAAAATCAGGGTTTCGATTCCCTTTGGTGGACACAGCAAATAGCTCGATGTGACTTTGCTATAATAAAACACTTACACACACACGGTTAAAAATGAGTAAAACAATCATGCAAGTAACTATAGTTTCATAAGTTATAAAAATAATAAAAAATTACAAACAACATATGTTAAAACCTTTCTATGAAAACCGCAATAATTTCATCAGTAATAAATATTACGAGAATTATGAATAACCTCTCCTGAAACCTAACTGTGAAAAAGCGTAATATTTATAACAACAAAAGCATAACCACCAAAATATTTTTCACTAAAATTACAACAAACTTTCCCTAAGATCCACTCATGAAAACGATGTTTTTCATAAGTGATAAAATAACTACGATTAATAAACATCACCTAAAATCTAATCATAAAAACAGTCATAGTTTCATTAAAATCACCTGTAAAGCTTTGCCGGTACATATTACTGGAGGTGGTGTGATGGTGTAGGGATGTTCTGATGGCAAGTTATGTTTTCATTCTTTTATAAGATGATAATAAAAGTTAGACTGTAGCTGATTGTTGCTGGTATTCTTGTCCAGCCCATGTTTTTCGTCCACTCTAATAAAAGAGGGTTCTTCCAAAACCATAATGAAAGAAGCTAAAATCGTAGAATCGTCCAAAGTCTGTTCAAAGAGCATGGTAACTACTTCAGCCATATTCCTTAGACCATATATATATATATATATGTATAGTCACAGAATCACAGACTGCACATTTATCATTTTAATCATCACTTGACACTAACACCCAACTGTAGACCACAAATATTGCAGAATGAGCAATAAATCGTAGTTCAGAGGCAGTAATCTAGATCTTCTGTTACAATTGCTACTAGAATACCATTAAATCATTAGAGGAACATTGAAACATCATCATTAGAATTTTACAGCATTATTGTTAACGTAAGTTCTGGATACCTTCTATATAATATGTGGAAATGGAACATAGAAATGTGGTATTCTCCAGGGAAATTTATTTCCTCGCAAGTATTAGATAGGCCCACTTGATAATAGCGAGATCTAATAAGAAATGTGAGATTAATCTGAGTTTTAAGGTTTATATTAGAAGATAGACTGACCACGTTTGATTAATAAACACAATCTTTATTCACAAATAAAAACAAAACAGTGTCTGTTCCAGGGTCCAGATCCGTAGCTTTCTTGTTCTTGTAAAAGACTTCTGTAGAACTATACAAAAACATGGACCGGGTAAACTGGGAAAGAATACGTGCTTCGATAATGCAAGAATGCTCGTGTCTTCTCTCCTGCGACGGTGTCTCCACGTGACTGGTCATTTTCTCACAGCATTCGTCGGCTATAAATGTAGACATCATTCATTCATCCAGTGAAGGACATTACAGTCATTGACCCAACTTTAACATTTATGTGAAGTTGTAGTGATATCCCCACGGACAGAGCAGTTGTTATCTACTATCGAAAACAACAAAGACAGAAGGCAGTTAGAGCAAAACAACTTCAAAGGTTTTCTGGACCACGTATTTTGTCAAAAACTGCGTAGAAACTAGCTACATGGAATATTTTAAAAATTATTACATCAAAAAAATAGGTATGAAACATATGATATGCCTGCAAATCATAGATGCATTAATCATAATTCATTTTAAAACTAGACTGATTTTTGTTTTGCTAATTATTTTACAAACATTTATGAAACATGTCAATGTTTTATAGGAGAATAGACTATAAAAGTCATAAAGTTTTTTTTTTTTCAAAAAGCTATTATACATTGTTTTCACTCCTGCATAATTAGGAATAGTATAACTTGAAAATGTTTCTCTGATTTTCATCAGATATGACAAATAGTTCAAGGGTACCTAAATATCCAGATTGTTAACCTTTGTGAACGTAGCTTAAAGTTATGAGAATTAATAATAAATAAATAAAAATAAGGAAGAATGTGTAATGCCAGGGCATTCAGGCAACCTGGGATGCGACAGCCATCGTAGTGGTTAAGAAATGTTATTTATATAAGAAAGCGCTCGACAAAACTGTTATGATGCGAAATAGATTAGCTTGGTGGAGTGTAATGTTTGACCAATTATGATTATGTCACAAGAGATCAGAATTAGTATAAGGATTTTTAACACTATGTTATTTGTTTCGCATCTCAATACCACAATATGTCAAGAAATCATGATTCTTCTACCAGATATTATGATCACTTTAACCTCTTCTTAGCCTTGACTAATTAACAAAGATAACTGAAAGTTTCAAAAGCACTAGCTGGTTGTTTAGTCAGTCCTTTTTAATAACGAGCTGGTTAACTCAAAAATGTAATATATTGTGTTAAAATATGATTGTCAATAGATAAGCTCAAAAGTATTCATAAAATGCAAATTCAGGATGTATACTACAGAAAATAATTTCGAACTCGGAGAAAAAAGAAAAGAAACAGACAAACAAAAATGAATAAATAACAATAATTTTAATCACAGTTATTATGCACATGTCTATTTACCCAGACTGGGTGGTTTGCTATTTTACAGACTGGCTATACTGGCTGTTATGGTTGAAAGGAGTCTTTGAAACATCCACACAGGACTAAGACAATAACAATTCTACTACGTGCATATATGACAAAGACAAAGAGAACTCTGATTCACCAAAAAAAATCAGACTAAACGTTAAAAGTGGGATACACCAGAATCAAACATTGCATACATCACCACCTATTAGAAACAACACTTACCATGAAAAAAATCCTCTAACTCATATCAATTTGTACAAGAATCTGCGCTACCCTTATAGATGGGCTTGTCTCTCTATAGGAGGTTTAGACACAAAGCCAAAGTGATATAGCATTTGGTGTATGCAAGCTTCACCTGAGTAAACGGATTATATCATGTTTATGACCTATCAACACTTTTAAGAAAAACTTCATACTACATGCAGGACATCTGCCCAAAAACGTGCAAGAAATTACACGAATATGTGTAACTAAAGATATATTCTAAACTAGATATGGAGAGGTAAAATTCCTGACTGTTTTAGTCATTACAATGCGTTATATATGTTAACTTCTGTTAATTGTATTTTAATATACATTTCTGAACTTTAAGATATCCCGAAACACTACTGGCTTTATTGTAATGTTAGACGAACTGTAAAAACAAAACAAAAAAATTCTACAGACACATAAATAAATAATTTTAATTTCAGTAAATATAATGTTCTAAGAAATAAGTAAATGAGAGAAAAAAACTATTATTTTCTACAAAGCAAATTGATAGAAAAATAATAATAACAGCTTCCTTTAAATCTTTGGGTTGAGAAACATAGCGTGCGTCACCAGTAGTTTGTTTGCACTTTCATTACG